ACTTTGTACCCCAGGCTGGTCTCGAACGGGCAACAATCCGCCTCCCTCAGCCTCGCAAGTGCTGGGATTACAAGCATGTGCCACCACACCCGGATACAGTAGAATCCTGACTCTAACAAGGTGACTAATTGAAACAGAAAACTAAATATGAGAAAATATATGATATAAAACTATATGATAAACTAGTGATGGCAAACCTTTTAGAGACTGAGTGCCAAACTGCAACCCAAAACCCACTTATTTATCGCCAAGGGCCAACACTACAACTACCTGGATACTGAGATCTTAGTTTAAAAAAAAAAAAACCTTGTACACTGACATTCTTTGTCTTAAAAGAAAAGCACAATAACATCTGTGTCACAGGTTATCCACCACTATGATAAAACATCTGCTGAACAGGTGATATAAAACTGCAGTTGCATCTTAGAGTTCTTCTAGAGGTTCCCCAATAGTGAAGTAATTTCAAAAGAAGCTGGAATGCACAACCTCTCTGCTTGCTCAAGAAGAAGGGATTCGGAATTCTGAGGCAAAATGTCTCCAATCTCAACTAGCCATATTACAGTCTCTGCAACCAATATCAAGCATCATAAATGGTAAGTTTCAGTGTAAAGCAGAAATATTCAAGGGAAAAAAGTGACTCACCTTATTAGAATGCCCAGCTTTTATTCCAACTGGAATTTTACTCTTGAAAGAACAACAACAAAAATTTTAAAAGTGATACAAAGAATATAATATTCCATGGGGTGCAAATACATATTCAAATTTTGTTTTCATACTACTGAATTAAAAACAAAGAGTTATTCCAATTTACAAACTTGTAAATTGAAGTGCAGAAAACTGAATGACATATACAGAGTCAAAATTATCTCTAGTAACTCTCAATGTGGTATTTTTTAGAGTTTATATAAATTTTAGGGTAAAAGTAGTGACCATCACTTTTCCATAAAATTTTCTACCACAGAAAAAGAAGTTTTCAAAGTTCAAGATTAGTTAAAATATATTATGCTGGATTGTAATTTTTGTTCTAAGTGGCATTTAAAGTTTAGGTAATTTTGATTTACTAGGATGCAAGAGTCAGATTTCTGGCCTATAGACCAGAAACTTAGGGTTTATCAATCTAAGTAACCTAGGGTTTACTAATAGAAGAACTGTATTAGGTTCTTTTCCACAAAATCAGTAATTGGTGTTAGGCTTTAATAAATCAATCTATGAATTATTTCAACTGGTTTACCAAAAAGAACTTTAAACAAAAATCCTACCTGAAAGAAAATGATTCCCAGGTTGATTTTTTTGATCAACCCAGGGACCTTTCCCAACCTCTGAATCCACTGACTACTAACAGCAGGAAATTACCTATTAAAAATTACTCTTATTTCATAGATTTTAACAAAATATTGAAAACATTCTGTCAGGAAAATGATGATGAAGAAGATGATATGAAAGAGATTTTTTCCTAATCTATAAAATGACTATACAGATAAAATGTAACTTGCTGCCAAAATTTTATCATTTTGGTCTTTTTTTCCGAGCACATCTACTAAGAGACAGGAGAAAAAAAATGACAAAACTCTAGTCAAATCTAGACAATTATAAGACCCTCGCTTTATTACCTGGAGTAAATATTAACCAAAAGTGGCCTCTGACTACTGTATGTCAGTTTGTACATAGTGTCCACCCAATACAGATTGTATGTTTTGCATTGAGCTATGGTCCCAACCTTTTTTAAATTTTTTGAGACAGGGTCTTGGTAAATCACTAAATGGCCCAGGCTGGACTCCATCTTGCAATTCTCCTGCCTCAGCCTTCCTAAATCTGGGATTATAGGAGTGCACCATCATGCCAGGCTCTCATTAGCAGCTTTTTAAAAGGTTGAATGCAGAACATAATGATTTAAGCAAATATTAGCTACAGGCTATGAAGGTACCACTGGTGATTGTCACAAGTAATGTATTGAGCATCTCAAAAAGTGTTATTAGAAGTAGTAAGGAACAACTCAATTTAAAAATGGGCAAAAGGGGAATGCAGGCGAGGCTCAGTGGTAATGCACGTGACTAGTTTGATCCACTTTATTGTAGGAGATGAAGAAAAGAGAATACTAAGGACCTGTCCTAGAGGAAAAGAGACTAAAGAGATGTGACAACCAAATGTAAAATATAATCCTGACTGGATTCTACACCAGAAAACTTTTTCTTCCTGATATAAAGCACAAGCGTATTGATGTCTTTGGAATTATTTGATTAAGGGCTATATAGCTATTAGTAAATGTATTAATGTTAATTTCTTGGTTCAATTCCTAGTAACACTAAAAAATTTTAAAGAAGCTTAAAAGTCTAAAATATAGCATCCTCTTGATAATAAGTACAGCACACCCTTGAAATAAACAAACAAATGAAAACCCAATTTCAAGCCTGCAAATTTCCCCTTTAGCCAATGAAATTTCCATTCTAAATTTGAAGGTTAGGGTCTAGGCCTGTTCTAGGATTGGGTCTGCAACTGGCTTTTTGTTTTTTGGTTTCTGTGTGTTTTGAGTTTTCTTTAAACCTATGAAATAAGATGCAACTTCCATAAAGCATGAAGTAAAAGCCAGCTGCAGACCCAATCCTAGAACAGGCCTCTGATCTTCAATTATAGAACTGGACTATACTTCTACATCCAATCACCAATGCCACAGGACAGAAAAGTATCTCTAAACCCATTTTGGTGACAAGTATAGAATAAGCCATCGATCTATAAAGAGGGCAGAGAATATATGAATTTGCTGACAAGTCCAAATTCATGGACATTAGCCTAAAGTATAGAGCATGTGCATATCTAAGAGTCCAAGAGAAAGTAAGCTTTTCCCTCTCAGTTTATTTATTATACCTCTGGGCAGGGCTCCACATGGCAGTCTTTTATTGAACAATGGCCATCTTCTGCCCAGAAAGGACACGGTCGCTTCAGATTAACCTTGAGAAAAAGAATAAGTTAATGTTAGTGTTATGTTTTAGATTTAAATATCCCCCAAAGCATCATGTGGCCATATGCTCATAGGTGGGCTTTTGGGAAGTGACTGGATCATAAGGGCATGATAGCTGACTTGCTGTTAAGAGGCAAGGTCTGGCTGAAAGAGCAGGACACTGAGAGTGTGGCCTGGAAGGGTTTATCTCTCTTCCTCACTCCTTCACTCTCTGCTTCCCTGTGGCCTCAGGAATACCCCTTTGCCATGCCACCCTACCTGGGAGCCAGCTGACTTTGGGTTGAAACCTCTACACACTGTGAACCACAATAAACCTCTCCTCCTTTAAGTTGTGGGTGTTGGGTATTGTGTCCCAGAGATGATGAGGTGATTAAAACAGTTAATAAACACACTTCAGTAAAAAGGAAAGGCTTCCTATCCTTGTGGCACATATACAGCTCAGATTTTAAATAAATGAAGTTTTCCAGACACCCAAATGTAATATTAATTTTTAAAATAAATGTTTGCTATTAGTCCCCTGACACTTGAAAAAAGGAACGTTCAAGTTCACTGCTTCCTTGAACACTGCACAGCATTTAGGACTACTTTAATGTCTCCCTGTCCCTAAGGTGACTTCATCACTGGATCTCCTGTATCCTCCCTTAGAGAGGCAGACTGATCACCTGCTGTGTGCCTGGCACGGGCTAGACTCCAGACAAAGTAGCAGCAGAAAAGGACCCCCTCGCCACCAAACTTAAAATTCACTGACGGAAACAGAAATTCAATATTTGTGTGTTTAATTAGTTGCAAGTTGTCACAGATGCTATAGAGGAAAATCTACACTTTTGTATAGTTGGGGTGGGGGTGGGAGATCTCTGAGGAAGTAATGTTTTTGGATGAATAGCAGTTGAAGAATGCATACATTTAGATTAAGGCAATGAAGAGCTTGGGCAGTTCTGGGAACCAAGAGCCACCAGCCTGGCTGAGGCTTAGAGGGAAAAGGAGAGGGGGACAGGGCAAGACAGTACAGGCAGGATGCTTCACTGTACAAGGTAAAAACACTACATTTTCATATTCTACGTATGAAAGGAAGCTGGTAATTTAATAGGAACTGCAGATGGGCTGTCCAAAACAAAAAAATCTAGGTTATATTCTGTTTTATCTCTTTTCTCCCTCCCTTTTACACAGTCTCTTTTCTGTCTACTTCTCACCACTTCCAGTGTCATCATTTATCTTTGGCCTAAGCTACTGCAATAGTCTCCTTGCTTCTATTGCTATCTATGCCACATAGCAACCACAGTTAGCTCAAAACCCAAATCCTAGCAATCCGTATGTCATTGTTACTTTTCTCATTGCTGAGATAAAATACCCAACACCCACTGTGTTAAAGGAGGAAGGTTTACTCTGGCTCACAGTTTGTAGAGGTTTCAATCCATAGTTGACTGACTTCAAGGCAGGGTGGCATTACAGAGAATGACAGATAAGCAGGTAGGAGACAGCAAAGCAGTAAGCAAAGCAGCAAGCAACAGCAGTAGTGAAGCCTCTTTATTTACCAGCCAGGCTACACCATACCCAAGTTGGGTCCTCCTATTATCCACATCTAAAACTATGCTAAACCAAATCAGTGGACTAATTTAGTACCACACACCCTAGATCCAGCCAACTCTGAAATATGTTAGGATAACTCCAGACCAGAAGGCTCCCTGTAGGATGGTATAAGACAAAGGCTTGTTCCAACAGGAGAGGGGGCCCTCCCTGCACTTTCTTCCCTGGCTTGCTCCAGCAGTGGAGCAAACACCTACTGGATCTACTGACTCTCTTGGAAATAGTTTCTGTATGTATTAAGCACCCTAACTTTTACAGCCTTCACTGAAGAGGCTGGCTCCTAAATCATCAAACTCTTGGAACTGATGGAGCTTTATACTCCTGAGGTTCCTAGACCACAGAGAACATGATGACTTTTAAACTTGAAAGCATACAGCAGCTACTGCTCCAGGTTCAAAGTGGGCAGTCTGATCAAGAGTACATGCATCTGCCTCAGAACCTTTCCTTGGGGTAGGCAGGACAAGTAGGAGATAAACTCTGGCTCTCAGCTCTGAAACAAAAGAAGCTAACACTTTAGACTCTGCAGCTTGCTCTCAAGGCCACCATCTCACTTCTGTAAAGGCAAAAGCACAACTGGACATTAATTTCCTGGGGATCAATAAGGACAAAGCAAGTTGGAAAAGAATAGGAGGTTTAGAGGCACCCTGAATGGCCACATTACCAGGGAAGGAATGTATCCTACACGAAACCAGTCTAACAAAACTAGGACGGGGGCTGGTTTTTTAATGCACAGAAACCAACTCAGAGAGTCAAGGGAAAAAGAAGAAACAGAGAACTATGTTCCAAGTAAAAAAGGTAAATCTCCAGAAGCTGATCCAGGAATGGAGATACCTGATCTGCCTGACAGGATTAAAAAAGACAGCCAGAAGGATGCTTATGAGGTAAATATAAACTATTAACTTTTTTTTTTAATTGTTCTGCATGGATTGATTTTATTTTATTTTTTTAATTTTAAAAATAAAAGGAGGAAAACATTAACAGACATACAACATTTTACAATATATCAAAAGAACAATACAGACAATACAGAGTTACAAACAGAGTGGTAGGGAATTAACAATGGTTGTTGTATTACATATTGATATCTTCAAAGTGGCTTCTCATGAAAACAGATATAGAAATGCAATACTGATCAACCAAAGACTCACTGACAGTTTCTTTCAGCATAGAAATAGAAGACAGAAGAACAACCATG